CCCCAAAACCCCAAAACCCCAAAACCCCAAAACCCCAGTAAATTATTTCCATATTGAGTAACCAAGATGATGATTTAAATTGTATTTATCGGTGACGAAATTTAAAGATTCCTCCAAACCTTTCCGACTAGCGGGTAAAGTTTAGAAAAACTCAAAGCACTTAGCAAGAGCCAGTGCTTCCGGTTTCGAAGATGGTATTAAAAGATTTAGAAAGTTAAAAACCTCTCCATTACGTGAGTTGATGAGCAACAATTCTTGTCAACTCTCATGGCGAGTTCGGCAAAGTATGCTGTTGAAAGCCCAGCTTTGCCTTTGAAGGACCTCATTAGCGATGTCCTACGGAACTTTGAGAAGAAGAGCATCAACAATACAAAAGACATCATCTTTGTCTTTGTGTACTCCATCTGCTCATACCTCTCTTTCATGTTAAAACAATAATTGCTTTGTTTCCAATTCTCCATTGATTTATGATGTAGCATACGCCATGAGAACTCTTTGTAATGAGACTCTACTCCAGACTTGCCTGACCCTGCTAGATCTCTCATTAATTTTCAATGACTCTTGAATCTGTCTAACTGATCTACATCTGATGTTAAAAATATATCTAATGTGAAATCGACCTCAAAATCGTCGGTAGAAAATAACAGCTGATCAAGGATCACCCAATAAAATTATTTTATAAAAGATTGACCTTAAATGCATGTATCAATTTTTGCTCTTAAAAGCAGATAGGAGGGGTTAGGCTAGAGCTTGGCTAAAGTATTGATTATATCACCTAGTATTACTGGCGTAATCCACACTCGATCTCACAAGATTGATATAATTAGGTGAATCCTTTCAAAATAACAGGATGACGTGATTTTCACCGAAAATTCTAAGAAATATCTACCCATAATTTCTACCACGAAAGCTACTAGCTCACAATAATCCAGCATCATGACAGATGCTGTTTCAACTAAGGCAGTGGGTAAAAGACACAAGGGCTTTAATTAAGATTTAACTGAAAAGACCTAAAAGTCTTTTCTCAATCGCATTATAATCCTTCATGGAGACCCCTACACCTCTGCCAAAGTTCGAGAGGGAGCAAGCTTGTCTTGGAAAAGGTTGCTTACTCGTTTTGAGAGATTCTTCATATCTCTGCTGCATCTCTTGAAATGTGTTTTTCATTTGTGTTAAATATTATCTATTTTCTGCTTAATTTAAACTTGTTTTTCAACTAGCCAATATATTTCAGGGGTTTTGGGGTTTTGGGGTTTTGGGGTTTTGGGG